CAGGAGCAGAAGGTGGAGGGGTGGAGGTATCACCTGCAGCAGCGGCAGGTGGAGAGGGGCAGGCATTACATGCAGCAGCAGGGGGTGAAAGAGGGGAGGTAACACCGGCAGCAGAAGAGGGTGAAAGGGGGGACGTATCACCTGCAGAAGCAGAGGGTGGAAGGGGGGACGTATCACCTGCAGAAGCAGAGGGTGCAGGAGGGGAGGAATTACACGCAGCAGCAGAGGGTGCAGAGCGAAGGGAAGCTGCCAGCAGTGGTGCTGCGGCTGGTGCTAACAGTGGTGCTCCTGTCCCCGCTGCAGAGTTGCCTGATAATGTTAAAGTGGTGAGGGTTGTAACGAGGCAACTAAAGCGGCCCTTGTTGGAGGAGTCAGAGGGCCAATGCTGCAAGAACCGGAAAGGTTGTTTCCAATTGTAGCAAGGGGGGTGCTGCGCCGAGTGAAGTGAAGAGAGCAAACAAGATTGAGCCGTGTTTTGAGTCGACTCAAAATATGGCAGGCATGGAATGTGTTGCAAGTGCAGTAATGGGTGCTGTCAGTATGTACGGTAAATAGGCCTGGGAGGGGCAATGTGTATACACATGCTGCTTTGTTATCAAAAGCTGTGCAGTGCAACAATCTGTGAGGTCAATAACACGATTAAAGGTGGCTTTGTTAGGTCATGGGCACTTGGGTGCTGCTTCTGCCGTTGCAGCAGCAGGAGCAGCAGCAGCAGCGGAGAGAATGGCAACAAAAGTCGGAGATGACACAGTCGCAACATCAGGAGCAGACGATACAGGGGTGGACGCAGCACCTGCAGCAGCAGACGGAGGAAGGGGGGAGGTATCACCTGCAGCAGCGGTTGATGGTGCTGGGAACAAGGCATCACCTTCACCGGCAGAAATTGCAGGGGGGGAGGTATCACCTGCAGAAGCAGAGGGTGCAGGACAGGACATGAACCTTCCCAGGCGATCAGCGTGGGGTGCAAGGTCGTCGTGCCTGTTGCTCCTGTTAGTAGCTGGCACCCCCTCCTGTTTATTGTCTTCAAGGCTGGAATGGCGCCTTTTACACATTCCTCATAAGCACTTTACCACGTCCAGTCTATTGCCTTTGAAGCTGGTGTGGCGTGGCTGGCACCTGTCGCTTGCCTTGCACGCTAAGTACCTCACCTCTCCTGCTTGTTAGGTGTACAACTCTCTTTCCTGACATTTCAGCGAGAGGGTCGCAGGAGGCGGATAACTGCAGTGACAGGCAAGGGAGCTGGTTACCAGCTGGGGGTGGAATTTCTGCTGTCCAACCTCATGGGAATGCCATCATGCCACCCATGGAATAAATTTCCAGTGTCAATACCTCAACCCAGGAAAAAATACAGCCATGACAGGCAAGGGAGGTGGCTACCAGCAGCTAAACATCAAAATCCAGTCCAGTGTTCCACAGATTTGTTTTGGTGATGTCCAGGTATACTGTAGTTGGGCATGGCTTACCCACCTAGCACCTGCACATTGTTATGAAGCATGAACATCGGCTCTTGTGGGTCTTCCCAACCAACCCAACCCAACGCACAAGTGGGACCATTTACCGGTAGTTGGAAAGGATGCACTATTATTTGAATAGAATCTGGTACAAGAGGTTGCAGCACCTGCTTGAGACAGCCAGGTAGAACAAAACCGGTGGTTGCACATTTGCACATTTGTCAGAAAAACGTATGAACATGTGCATGGATTTACATCAGATCTCGGCACCAATTTATTATGTTATCAGGTGCATGGGTTCAGACCAGCAGACTTTGTAAAAGGGACGAACGCAGGGGGCTTCAGGAATGGAAGGATGAGGGATGAGTGCAATGCGCAACTCACATACGCAAATGAGGGATGAGTGCAGAGGGGAGGGGTGAGCATAGATGAACTGAGGGATGGACACCAGGGAATCAGGGTAACGAAGGGGAAGGGGTGAGAGCTGCAGCGGGAATGAAGGATAAGGGCAGGGGAATGGGGTGAGGGAATGGGGAATGGATGAGCGGAGGGGGGAAAGGTGGGGGATGGGAAAGGGGTGGGGTCAGGGAAAAAGGGTGAGCACAGGGGGTATGCAGGAGCACAGAGGGAGTTTGGAATAAACTCAAGGGGAATAAGGGGTGAGCGCAGGGGGAGGAGGGGGGCACAGGGGGAAATGATGGGAGCAAAAGGGGATGAGGGGTAATCGTAGGGGGGTTGAGGGATAACGGTGAGGGAATGAAAGGTGGGCGTGGGGGGAGAGGGGGGAGGGTGAAGGAATCAGCGCTGAGTGAAAACGGATGAGCGCAGGGGAACGAGGGGTGAGCGAAATGAGAAATGCGGGGAGGGCGAGTGACGGGGAGATGAGGGACGAGCGAAGGCGAGACGGAGTGAGGAGAAATGACTGCTACCATGCAATGGCGAAAGGAGAGGAAAGTCGGTAAAGGAAGGGGGGAGGGGGAGGGGAGGAGGTGGGAATGAAAAAGGAGACTGAACTCACATTCGTGCTCCACTTCACGTGTAGTGAGGGTGTTTTTGAGACGTCTCAAATTCACGATACATCTGATGGGAGTTTGGCAGTGTTACCGTTCATCAAGGAGAGATTCAGCGGCGTCTAATTAGAAGACATTAAAGCCCGCGTCAGCAGCTGACGCGCTTCACACGGACAGGGGCGTTTCCAGGTATAGCTGTAAAACGGGCGAGATCGTCAGATCTACTTCCCACGCGAAAAGTACAGATCTGCGTGACCGCACTTGCATGCGCTCAACGAGTGGGATTTCGCCCTCCGTCGAAAGTCCCTTCGCGAACTAATGGTTTTACGAAATAGACTTGTCGTTCCTATTTTCGAGAATAATACGCATCTGAAATGTACTGCTACCCTCAGCCACGGAACGTGCAAGGATCGTCGGATCTGAACTGGAATCAACCAAGGCGGCACTAGGAGCTAGTGCAAATAATACGGGAGACTAATCTAGGAGCTGAGGGGGAAGTCACCAATGATCAGATCTGAGGCAGGAAGCGAGGACAGGAAGAATAACGTCGACTCGATAATAGCGAGAGGGTGGTTGGTGCACCAACCCAACCCCCGTTACTGTGATCTGCTATTTTCCCTCGGTGTACCGAGTCACCTGGTTTTACTGTTCCCTGTGTGCTCATTTTTCGTTCGAATCTGCTTCCCACCTTTTCTTCCTTCCTCGGTTCTTCTTTGCTCTCTCGGTTTCCCATTCCGATTGGTCCTAGCAGAAATTTTCAATAAGTTTCCAGCTTCACGCTGTTGCCGTCCCGTAACTCACGCAAAATATTAGGTCCAGACAACTACTAACCTGCCCGAGTCTCGGAAGCTCCTGGTAAGGCTGACCCACCACACTCGTATATAAGCGAAGCAACACGTAATAAAATGAGCCCAAGAACGCACGAAAGTGTTCAAAAAAATACAGTATTCTCAACACCCGAAACAGCTACAAACGGGTATCCGCGCACTCTAAACTCCACTCCAAGTCAAACCAATTCTCGCTGACATCACAAGCGCCAAACCACTTTGCGGTCTGGCCGCGTCTCGGCGGAGGGCTCACTTCAACCCTAAACTTTTTGCGGCGTTATCAACCACCCTTGATTCACAACTTTCAAAACCGACTTTCAGAATCGACCGCGATTCGCACAGGCAGCACCACACCACACCTCTGAGGCACATTCACAAACTCTCGCACAATACATCGCCCATTCATTCTGGCTCCCCTGAACGCCAAACGATGCTGAGCTGGTGATTTTGGCGTCTCGCACGGCCATCGGCGGACGGCACGAAAATACATCAAGGCCGCTCCAAATTAGTTGCGGCGTTGTACCACCCTCAACTCAAAATCCCCATAATTCATCTACCGCGATTCGCACAGACAGCACCATGCGTCTCAAGGCACATTCACATTCATTCTGACTGCGCCGGACGCCAAAAGATGTTGGGCTAATGATTTTGGCGGTCTCTAACGGCCGTCGGCCGACGGCATGAGATAACGTCGACGCCGTTCAGATCTAGCGGCGACATTTTATCACCCTCGATCAACAATCCCCATTATTTTTAAAGTATCGACCGCGATTCGCACTGACTGCACCACCACACCTCTCGCCAAACATTCACAAATCCAGGCACCAGTAGCTCCCATCATATCACCCCAGTCATTCACAAGTTGTGACTCTCCGCAACGCCAAAAGATGCTGGGCTGATGATCTTGGCGGTCCCGCATGGCCGTCGGCGGATGGCACGAGATTACATCGAGGCCGTTCGAATTCAGCGGCGGCAATTGCCACCCTCGATTCCCGATCCCCATCCTTACCAGGGATTCCATCCAACTGATTCGCGCACACGGCACCACCTCTCACACAAACCTTCTCCCGATTCCATCCAACTGATTCTCTCAAGTAACCACTACATGTGCAATCCAACGTCATTCAGTCGAAAAACTCATTATCGTCGACGATATTTTCTTCTGAGGAGCACCGGAAAGCCCGAGTCAGCCCAAGGCATGCAGCAGAGCGTGTGTGCGCTCGCAGCGTCGCGCGTAGGTTCGCAGCATTAGGCGCGCAGCATCGCAGCGCAGCGTCGCAGCGTCGCAGCGCAGAGTCGCAGCGCAGAGTCGCAGCGCAGCGTCGCAGCGTCGCAGCGCAGAGTCGCAGCGCAGAGTCGCAGCATAGGCTAGCAGCGCACGCTTTGCGATATGCTTTTGGCTGATTCGTGTGCCTCGATGGTGCTCCTCGCCTCCCTTCTCAGAACGTGATTATTGGCCTCAGCTTGAGTAGATTTGATCGCTGCCGCAACTTGAAGACGTTTGAAGACGGTCCAAGACTGCTGCCATTTTTTTTCCTGAAGAATCCAAGGCGCCGCGAGCAACCAGGATAAGGCTTTCGTGCTTTGAGTTTTTTTATCTATAAGTGTGCCTAATCAAATTTGTTTCTATCATTTACAGGAATATCGTCTTCAACGCTTCTCCTCAACGCGAAGACTTGAGAAGACATGACGGCTGGCGCCGCGACAACGTCATGGCGTCGCGATCTGCACGCCGTCCGGGCGGCATCTCGTCGGCGTCCCTCTGCCAGCTCATTTCGGCGAGTTCACGGCGAGGAGCAACTTCACGGCGAGGAGAGAGGCGCATCTCACGTCCTCGCACCCGAGCGAGGCGGTTAATCCCTCTCGTCCTCTCTTCGTCTTTTCAGACCAAGGGCGGAGGAGCACAACGATCGAGGAGGACGCAAGGTGTTTTCACCTCTTTTTATCTTCTCTCTTCTTCCTCCCCAAGGAAGCGGCGGAGGAGCACAAGGCGCAGCGGATCGTGGCTATAAAGGTAACCGTTTGTAAGTCTCTCGAGCTCTGTCGCGCTTTTCGTCGTGCTTTATTTCGTGCTCTTTATTTCGTACTTTTGTCGTGCTTTTGTTCGTTCTTTAACACGGTTTAGGGTGATGTCGTTGTTAGCCTCTCGTGGTGCAGGCGCAGCCGCAAGGAAGCAACACCGACCTGAAGATAAAAACGGTAAATTTGGTTTCCGCTTTTTGCTGTTTTCTTTCGCACGTTTACTAACTCCTTTTCGTTTCTACCTTTTTGGTGCAGGTTACGCGAGGGAGGCAGCGGGTATTATCATATTTTCCCTTCTGTCTCTTTCTCTCTGTCTTGTCTCCTCAGGTCAATGGAGGAGGAGCACAACGGAGGGGAGCACAACGGACGGTAAGCACGGGTAAGCCTCTCTCCCTATGTCGTGCTTTGTCGCGCTTGCTTTTTTTCTTGTCATCTTTGCTGTTCTTGTTCTTTCTTACCTTTTCATCGGTTTTACTAACGTCTTTTCGTTTTTTCCTCTTTGCTGCAGGTTAAGCGTGGGGAGGCCGCGGGTGTTATCACTCTTTCCTTTCTGTCTCTCTCTGTTTCTTCCCTCCTCAGGTCAACGGAGGAGGAGCACAACGGACGGGAGCACAACGGACGGGAGCACAACGGACGGAGGAACGCAAGCACGGGTAAGTCTCTCGACCTATGGCATGCTTTGTCGCGCTTTGTCGTGCTTTCTTGTCATCTTTGCATTTCATGTTCTTTCTGCTCTTGTTCTCATCAGTTTTACTGACGCTTTTCGTTTCTTCCTCTTTGGTGCAGGTCAACGGAGGAGGAGCACAACGGACGGGTGCACACCGTAAGCACAGTGAGTCTCTCTAACTTTGTCGCGTTTTGTTGTGCGTTCTCGCGCTTTGTTGTGATTTCTTGTCTTTGCTTTTCCTGCTCTTTATGCTCTTGTTGTCATGTTGTTTTTATCAGCTTCACTAACGCTTTTTCGTGTTTTAGTGCGCAGGTTTTGTGGAGGGGAGGCCGCTGGAGCTTTCACCGTTTTCTCCCTCTCCTTCCTTTCCAGGCCATGGCGGAGGAGCAGAAGAACGGGACGGCACGGCACGGCTGAAGGGTGAGTGTGGGTTTAGGGTTGGTAAGGTACGTGGGTGACGATTAGGAGCGACGGGGTGGCGACTAGGAGCGATCACGTGGTACAGGTGCAGATAGGATGCGCGCTCGTGTAGACTCGTGGTACAGGTGGTGGTTGGGTGGTAAGGTGTGTCGATGGGTTTCCCATCTCAGCAACCGTGGAGCATCCCCGACTCGAGGCGCCTTCATCCTGCCTGACATCTGACATCCGCATAATTGAGGTGGTTCCCTGCCCGGTGGCGGGACAATCTAAACTTTTTGCCCCTGTTTCCCGCAGGTGTCCCGTACGAATAGCCCCCACCTCAACGCGGTGTACGGGTGAAACACTAGGAGCTTGCTCCTAGTGGCCAAGAGGGGTGAAGACCGAAGTGGCAGATTCGGCTGAAGAGCAGTTTCGAAGGACCTGGTAGCTTACGATAACCTTGGTGCTGTAGTTTTCCACCTGCCTTGTTTGTACTCTGAAATATATGGTTAAATTTTAAAAAGTCTCTGCCTACTTGGCACTCCGTATCACCAAACAGGAAAACAATACAGAGACTCCGCGTAGCAGTGAAATATTAAAAATCCACACCATCGAGAAATCCTGCCCAGGGCAACGCTCTCAGTTAAAAATAATGTTCCCGCCCCCTCGAGCTTTTCGGATCGCACTAGAAACACTGTCAGTCAAATCAAATCTCGCAGTGGAGTCCTACGTCCCGCCAAACCGCCTCGCGTTACACTGCACTGATGTGCACGGTTCTCTGCCAGACTGCACGGTGATTTGCGGTTTGATGCTCCACCACCGCTTTTCACTGAAATTCTTGTCCTCGTTACCAGCTCTTCAATGTTTCGTTGCTTCGATACACAATCGCAAACTGCTTTGCAGTTAGCACTCAAAATTTTGTGCAGCTGGCTGGCCAACCCAGCAGAAGGAACATGTACATGTGCGGAAACACAAATTTGCCACTAAGAACAGAAATGTTATTCAAACTCCAAGCCCTCTCTTTCTCATCATTGCGTACGCTATATAGCCAGAGAAGTTGAAAGATACTCCACTTGTAGTAGGATTCCAAAGACACTCCAATTGGAGAAGTTGAAATATACCCCGAACTATTAATCTCGAGGTGGAGGGGGCAGTCGGCAACGAAGGCCTGTGATTGCTCCCATCAGTGGGGGAAAGTGGGGTGATGGTCATGGGATGAAGTCAGGAGGGGTGTGTGGGAGAAGGGAAGCAGGTTTCATTTCTAAAAATTAGGAGGGGTTTTAAGGATGCTGAGTGTCTGGGGTAGAAGTAGGCTGCGGAAGTGAGTGGGGTGATAGAACAAGAGACGCGAGGGTGTACGGCATGTGAGAGAAAGGCTGTGGCTGTGCCACTGTGAGGAAGGAGAGCTGTTTCTAGGAAGGAATGAGACGCATCCATGGCGCTCATAGGATTTAGGGCAGATGTTAGGAAGAAAGGCTTCCAGGAATGGCGATACGCCGCTGGCGTCTTGATGTGCCTACAGCACTTCTATGGTGCTTCTATGATGCTTCTATGCTGCTTCCATACCACTCAAGTTGCTGCATTTATGAGGATTTGATGATGCGTTCATGACGCTTCTATAATGCGCTTACAAAGTTCCTATGAGACGTCTAAGAGGCTTCACTGATGCTTCTATGCTCTAGGCTCTTTGATGGGAGTGAGAGGCGGGGCGGGACGGAAGCACGGGGGAGTGCCTGGGAGACGGAGAATGCGAGCGAAGAGAAGAGGGGAGATGAGAGGGCGAGTGGAGGGATGGGAGCTGGGGAGACGGGGATTTGCGAGAGGAGGGTTGTAGGGAGGGCGAGGAGAAGGAGGGGAAGTGCAGGGAAGGAAGGGAGAAGGCGGGGCCAGGGGAGGGCGAGCGGGACTTGAGCTGAGCCATGGTGTGAAGGAGCGACTGCTTGAGTGATGCGATGTGCCTGGCCCTTTGCGTAAGCTGCAAGGGGTAATTGGAAACACGCAGACAGGCAAGGAAGGAGAGTAGGGGTTAGGGGAGGGAGAGCGGGAGTTGAGCTGCGCCATGGTGTGAAGGAGCGACTGCTTGAGTGATGCGATGCGGCTGGCCCTTTGCATAAGCTGCAAGGGGTAATTGGAAACACACAGACAGGCAAGGAAGGAGAGTAGGGGTTAGGGGAGGGAGAGCGGGAGTTGAGCTGCGCCATGGTGTGAAGGAGCGACTGCTTGAGTGATGCGATGCGGTTGGCCCTTTGCGTAAGCTGCAAGGGGTAATTGGAAACACACAGACAGGCAAGGAAGGAGAGTAGGGGTTAGGGGAGGGAGAGCGGGAGTTGAGCTGCGCCATGGTGTGAAGGAGCGACTGCTTGAGTGATGCGATGCGGCTGGCCCTTTGAGCAAGCTGCATGGAGGGAGCAAGGAGGGGCATGGGAGAATACAGATAGGCAAGGTAAGAGATATCTCCTTGCAGCTCCCCCGACTGCTGCATCAACTCCTGATCTACACACTTATACCTCAAAAGCACTTACACACACTTATACCTCAAAAGCACTTACACACACTTATACCTCAAAAGCACTTACACACACTTATACCTCAAAAGCACTTACACACACTTACATCTGCTGCCCACCAGATCCTTGAGGCTCGAGATGTCTCCCCGCAGCTCCCCTGACTGCTGCACCTACTCGTCGTCCCAATCAAGGTCCCTCTACTCACCTGCTTTTTCACACCCGCCACCTCCTCGGTACCGGTCCCTCTGTCGCAACCCACCTGATCCTTGAGACTCCCAATGTCTCCGCGCAGCTCCCCTGACTGCTGCATCAACTCGTCATCCCAATCCACGTCCTTCCACTGCCCTGCCCCCTCAATCCCGCCACCTCCGCTGTCTCTTACACCCTTCCCTCTTTCACCACCCGCCTCCTCTGCCCGAGTTGACTTTTGAGTCGACTCAAAAGTCAACTCTGCCCCCTCACTCCAGCCACCTCCGCTGTCACCACCCGCCTCCTCTGCCCCTTCTTCCCCGTCTTCCCCATCTGCTTCCTCGGACTTGCTTTCTCCCAGCTTTGTTTCCTGTGGTGTCAACTCCCGAGTATTCTTCAAACCTCCAAACCCCTGGCCCCCCTGTCTTCCCAAATGCTGACGCTCCTGCTGCTGCAGCCTCAGGGCAGCGGCCAGTGCATGGCACGCATCCATCTGCTGCCCCAGCAGCCACCGCAGCTCCTCAATCTGCCCCTGCTGCCGCGATACCAGCTCCTGAGAGAACAAAGAGGGGAAGTGAAAGGATAATGCAGGGCAGCACGGATTAGACAGTGTAGAGCAGCAGCCAGTTCACGCCTCCATCTGCTGCCCCAGCAACCGCCTCAGCTCTTCAATTTGACCCTGCTGCCGTGCCACTAGTTCCTGCAAGGGGTGGGAGGGAGGGGAAGTGAGAAGGAAATAGAGGGCAGCACGGGTAAGACCAGGGCAGCGGCCATCGCATGGCACGCCTCCATCTGCTGCCCCAGCAGCCGCCGCAGCTCCTCTATCTGCCCCTGCTGCCGCGATACCAGCTCCTGAGAGCAGAAAGGGAGGGGACGTTCAAAGGAACAATAAGGGACAGCATGGGTCAGCATGGGTCAGCATGGATCAGCATGGGTCAGCATGGGTCAGCATGGGTCAGTCAGAGCAGCAGCAGCAGCCAAAGCATGGCACGCCTCCATCTGCTCACCAAACAGCCGTCGCAACTCCTCAACCTGCCCTTGCTGCCGAGACACAAGGACCTAAAACAGAGAGGAGAAGTGCAGGACCGAATACAGGGCAGACGGAGTTCAAATCGACTCAAACCATGCAGGCTTGTGCCTCAAAGCAGGATGGAACCTACCCGGAGGTCGCAGCTTGATGGCGGGCTGCCAGCATGAGCATGCTGACACGTGGCGTGAGGCCAGGCCAGTGCTTTGCCACGTGGAGAGCCTGACGCTGTGCCACGTGGAGAGGCCAGTGATGTGCCACGTGGAATGGCCCTATCCTCCAGAGAATCACTGCCGTTGTTGAATGAAGACCCCATAAAGTCAATAACGCGTGGAGACTCCCTTGAACACTCCATACCCACACTCAGTCTCAGCCAATCCGACGTCCCCTCGCCCCTTCCCATTCCCACCTCCTCACTTCCCTTCATCCCATCCTCGCCCTCTTCCTCCCCGTCTTCCCCCTCATCTCCCTCCTTCCCTATCCCCGCCCTCCTCGCTGCCTCCTGTTCTCCGTGCTCTCTCCTCGGATCCCCATGCAAATCACTAAGTATTGTTCCTTTCCCCTCTCTCCCTCCTCCTCCACGCCCCAGTGTCAAAACAGTCAGATCTGAGTCCTCATGCTCAGCAGAAAAAGGCTTCAAAGATTTTCCACTCTCAGACTCCCCCCAACGCGCATCCACGTCCAAGGAACCTTCTCTGCTGCTTCCATCACCACTCCTCTCACCAAAACCCCTCACACTGCCCTCCCTTCTCCTGCTCCTCACACCACTACTCTCATTGCTGCTGTTGCTGCTGTTGCTGCTGCTGCTGCTGCTGCTGCTGCTGCTGCTGCTGCTGCTGCTGCTGCTGCTGCTGCTGCTGCTGCTGCTACCCTCTCTGCTGCTGCGGCCTCTGTCACTCTCGCTGCTAATGCACCCTCTGCTGCTGCCCGCACCACTGCTGCACCTCCCCCCTTGTATCAGACCCATCCTTCCCTCCCTGCTGCTCTCACCCACGCTCTCCCTCACGCTCTCCCCCTCGTCCCACCCACTCCACCTGCTTCCCACACTCTCCCGCGCTCCTCCTCTCACCCATCTGACCAAGGAGAGACTGTGTGTCTCGTGCCCAGACACCCAGGTCTCAATCTGCTGCTGCTGTGCCCGAAACTGCTCCTGCTGCTGCTGCTGATGGTGCTGCTGTGACTGAAATAGCTGCTGCTGTGGCTGCTGTCCCGAAGGGTGCAATCTGGGGCTCCAGGCTTGGGGCATAAGTGAGATAGGCGAGAATCGATGCTGCTGCGGATGATGGTGCGGGTGGCGCTGCTGGTACTGCTCCTGGTGCCGTTGCTGGTGGCGTTGCTGCTGCTGCTGTCCCTGCTGCTGTCCCGTTTCCTGTCTCTCCTGCTGCTGCTCCTGTTCCTCCTGTCCTCGCTCCTGCTGCTGTCCTTCATCTCGAGTCAACCCAGCGGCCTTCTCTTCAGTCAAACCCACGCTGCTATCCCTAGCCCCTACTTCGCTAACAGCCTCCTCGAAAACGTCACAATCTGTCCCTTTTCCTCCCCCCGTTACAGCCGACTCAAAAACCGTCAAGGTGGCAGACCCTGCTTCGCTAACAGCATCCTCGAATACCTCACAGTCTAACCCCTCCCTTTCCCACTCTCCACCTTCTCCTCCCCTTCTCCCCTCCTCCACCCTCCCTTCCTTACGCCTCCTTCCCTCCACATCCCTCCCTCCCTCAACCCTCCACCCCTCATCCCTCCCCTCCTCCTCAATCCTCCCTTCTCCCTCAACAATGCTGGCTCCCACCTCCCTCTCTTCACCTCCTCCCCTCCCTTCACCCCCCTCCTTATTCCCCCCCTCGCTCTCTTTTTCTTCGCCCTCCTCTGCTCCCTCCATTTCTCTCTTCCCTATCAACTCAACCCCACCACCACTCCTACCAGCGCTCAGTTCCGCTTCAAATGAAGCCAGGAACCCACCTAGCGTAACAAAATCCTCCTTCCCCTCTGCTGCCACCACTTCTCGCCCTTCTCCCGCCCACTCATGCCGTTCTTCTACCATCCTCCGCCCTTCTGCTTCCTCTCTTCCCCGTTCTGCTACCATTCCTCTACCTGCCACCGCACCCACTTGCACAACACCGCACTCCACCCCTGCAGACTCGCTTGTGGATGACTCGATGTCAGTAAGAGACGGCATACCAAAGCCCGAATCCTCCCCCCCTCTCCCCCCTTGGAACCATTTAGCAGACACTCCCCACGGCCCTGGGGGGTGGGCCCAAACCATTTCCGAAATGCAAGGATCATCAACGCTTCCAGCTGCTCCAAACTCTCCTTGTGTTTCCCCAGTTAGCTCTGAACCCTCCTCTAAAATGCTGGGGAGAGCTGCAGACAGCCGCCGACCTCCATGCACCCTTTGAATCACATCCAACCCATGATTTAAACCACTTATAAGGACCCTATTCTCGCCATCCCCATGCACCCTTTGAATCACATCCAACCCATCATTTAAACCACTTATAAAGGGTGATTCAAGGGTGCCCCTATCCTCGCCATCCCCATGCGCACGCTGTGATCCCTCTGAATTCTCCTTCTCAGGCGTTTCACATCTCTCATTCCCCTCCTGACACTCGTGCCCACATGTCTCAAAACTCGGAGAACCCTCCTGAAACTCCTCGCCGCGTTTGCTGGACATAAACTTGCCACTGCGTTCTCTCGGTTCAAACCCCCAACCACCAGCAAAATCTGAGTCGCTTTTGAGAATTCTCAAAAGAACCTCCTCTCCGCGTTTGCTGGACATAAACTTGCCACCGCGTTCTCTCGGTTCAAACCCCCAACCGCCCGAGCTTTCCCCCGCGTCAGCCACCCACCTGCCTGTGCTCTCGCCCGGCCCAAACACCCAGTCCAATACTAGCCGGTCCATCCCAGCCCTCGCTGCACACCTCTCTAACTCTGCCGCTGCTGCTGCCGCTACTTCTGCTGCTGCAGCCTCGTCCTTTTCAGATGATGCCTCTCCCACGCTTACAATCCCGCCTGTTGGATTTGCTGTCTCTGCTGCTACTGCTGCTGCTGCCTCTGCCTTTCCTGCCTCTGCTGCTGTTTCCCCTTGCATGTTTAGGCTGAGAGCTGATGGCTCACGCATGTCATTCTGCTGAATTAGCCTCACACGTTCCCCAAGCACCCCATGCACCCCATGAGCCCACCTCCTCTCTCCTCTCGCTCCACCCGTCACTCTCTCCCTCTTCTCACAACAACACACACACGGACCACTCCCCGAGTGGTCCCTAGACCGCGCCTCACTTTCTCCAAGTCCTCTAAGAACCTCCCTGCACCTCTCGCAACTTCTCCCACAGCCTCCACGTGGCAGGCCATGATTGGCAGCTTCTGCATGTGAGCACTCCCCAACCCCTGCCTCTCCGCCCTTGTAGCGAATCCACGCCCCTTGCACCCCTTCGTGCTCCTTATAACGAGTCAATCTATGCTGCTCTTCCCCGAGGTCCTTATATCGAGTCACTGCGTGGCTCTCTCCCTCTTGGTCCTTGTAACGAGTCAGGGCGTGCTTCTCTCCCTCACGGTCCTTGTAACGAGTCAGGGCGCCTTCCATGAGATGCAGAGATGCCACCCACGCCACTGCCTTGGCCGCCACGATGCATGCATAAGCGCGCTGGGAGGGGGGAGCACAAGGGCAATGAGGGATGGGAGGAGGTAAGCCAGGATACACCCACGCCACTGCCTTGGCCGCCACGATGCCCGCAAAGGCGCGCTGGGAGGGGGGAGCACAGCAACAGGGATGGGTGGGAGAGGCAAGGGCAAGACGAGTCAGGGCGCCCTCCTTGAATTGCAGAGATGCCACCCACGCCACTGCCTTGGCCGCCACGATGCATGCATAGGCTCGCTGGGAGGGGAGAGCACAAATTGGCACGGATGGGTGGGAGAATGGTGAGGGCTCGCCGGGTCGGGAGTGAGGCATCAAGAATGGTGATGCCCACGCCACTCCCTTGGCAGCAACGATGCATGCATAGGCGCGCTAGGAGGGAGAGCAGAGGAACACGGGCAGGTGGGGAAGGGGAGGACAAGACGAGAGGAGTAGTCGGGCATTGAGAGTGATCCCACCCACGCCACCGCCTTGGCAGCAACAATGCATGCATAGGCGCGCTGGGAGGGGGGAGCGCCGCGGGAGAGGGGAACGCAAGCCGAGAAGAGTCGGGAAGAGGGAATGGGACGGGGAGGAGGGGGGACACGGAGAGGGACGGAGAGGTGGAGAGAGCGACAAAGATGGGGGAGGAAGGATGGACGAGAGGGAAGGAGTGAGGGAAAAGAGTCAAGACAGGCAGAGGGACGTAGAGGGAGTTGGGGAGAGAAAGATGGAGGAAGAGAGTTGGGTGGAGGGGGGGAGTAAAGAGAGAGACAGGAGGGACTATGCAGAGACGGGGACTGGAAGGGAGGGACTTAATCACCCACAGACACGCAGGAGCTTCAGCACTTACGCAGAGGGCGGATGCCACGTGGCAGGGAGAGCGCCACATCATGCTTAAAACGAACAATCTGGACCCATCCGCCACTCCCGTGAAGCTCTCCCCCGTTATAAGGGACTCCAGAAACGCCCTCTCCATTTCATCCCCATCCATCCACCACTCGTTAGAGTCACCAAAGCCACAGCCACCAACGCCATCACTGACGTCACCATCCACGTCATCACCAACGCCATCAATCAAGCTCCCACCATCCCCACCCTCCCATCCTGCGCCCCCCACTCGCTCCAAGTCCCAAGCATCCTCTCCTCTCCCCATACCCCATGCCTCCTTTTCAGCAGGTACGGCAAGGTCCATGCCTGCCACCAGCCTCGGCATTCCAAAGGAACTAATGCTCCGGCTGCCGTTGCCGCTGATACCAGTGATGCCAGTACCCGCGCCCCTGATACCACCGATATCACTCATTCGCCTGCGAATCCATCCGTGCTCGTGTCTATTCGCCCACTCCGCTCGTTCGACCTCGCCCGGATTCCCTGCTGTATCCGCATATTCGTTTTGACTCGTCCCCGTCACTGTAAGCGAAACTGAGCGCACTATACCGCGTCCAGGCGGCCGGCTCCTGGCCGTATCAGCACCTTCCGCGTGACCCCAACGTCTCAAATCCGCATTCCCGCTATTAGCACCAGAGGTGCTACCTCTGCCTGTCGCCATGCCACCTTTCTGCTCCGTGACCGATTTCAGGATCCCGGAATTTACGGGTTCGCTGCGCTTACCCACCAATCCACGCACAGGGAAGAAATGCTTCAGCGAGCTAAAGAGCCCACGACCTGAGGGCCGGACTTTCCGCTCCGTTTGAGTCCCAACGCTTGTTCCTTTAGCGAGAAGCGAAGGATTTTCTGCCAGCGCTCCGTGATCGTGCTGACGTGGACGCTGATGCTGCTGACGTTGATGCTGATGCTGCTGTTGATTCTGGCGATTACGGTGCGCCTGAGCGGTCTTCGCGTCGCTTCCTAGTTTACCCGCGGGTTGCGCTGTCAGGTTTGTTCGGTCAGCCAGCGGGCTTGGTTTTCGGGATTCGTTTGATACAGAGTTCCGAGGATCGCTGTTGCCGGAAACACCGTGATTTGAGTAACTGTGACCGGAGTTACTGTAACCGGAGTGATTATGAGAAGAGCTATGGGAAGAGTGACAACAACCAGTGCTTCTAACGGAAGTTTCAGGCCCAGAAAAGCTGGGAATCATACCGGGAATCTGGCCGTAAAGCGCGCTGCTACTGTAGCAACTATTGGACGGACAGTCTTCCCGCACGCGGCAAAATGGGAACGACGCGCCGTCGATACTCTCGAGGCGGCTCGGAGAAGGGAATTCCCGAGGCGGAAATTCTTGATGAAGGTCCAGTACCGCGCTGCTCTTGCGACGCTCTCTTGTAACGAATCGAGCGCTGCATGTGACTGAAACGGGATCGAGCACCGTGAGGCGGTGCTCTTGGCCGGAATCTAGGGTCGCCATAACAAGAAACGAAGACGCGGCTGACGGGAAATGCGACGTTCAGTTCCTGCTTCACCAACCTTAACCGTGCCGCAGTCTAAGGACGCCTAGAAAGAACACTGTCAGGAAAAGGAATCTGTTAACGCCAGAGGACACTGCTATGGGCGCGCTAAAGCCATGGAGTCATGGCTGCAGCTGAGGAACACTGTAATTTCTCGGTGTCCAAGCTTCTCACCCCTACAAGTCTTGATCAACTAATGTGCAAGTGCGACTGGAGCAAGGGGTACTATTTGATTGGTTACACGGTTGCGTACGATGCTGTGCATTTTGAAACGAATGTCTCAACCTCTTTTCACCGCTACTCACCTTTCTGACCATCGAAGCGGAATTCATAGATTTTTTTTTGTCTGAGGCGAGAAGGAATGTCAGGCAGCCAATCACGAAACCGACGGGGAAAAGAAATTCGAGGAGTCTGCCTGCAGGTTCGGCTTGGCTGGCGGATGCTGCGAGGTTCAGTTGTTGCAGACTGGAAACTGAACAAAATGGGGTTTTTAGTTATTGCGGAAGGGGTACTTCCGAACCTGCGCTTTCTAGGGAGCTTCATCTCTACCTGCACAGAGTTTCCCAGGTTTCGACGCCCAGACAGAAGACTTATTGCGCTGGGACAGAACTCGGCTCCACGTTTACCCACGTGTCATCATCTCGTAAGGCCTTAGCTGCTACTAGTCAGGCAAACGATGCACAACAGAATTTGTTTTTTTTTTCCACTCTAATCCGCACTAAACTAAATCCCTCTCGGCTGGCAAGTGATAGGGGGCATCAACCCTAAACACTGCGACTAAGTGTTTAGGGTTGATGCCAAAAATAATCCCTCTTGGTTGGCATGTAAATAAAGGGCATCAATCCTAAACACCTAATCGCGTGGAGTTTAGGGTTGATGCCCTCGAAAACTTGCCACCCGAGAGGGGTTTAGTTTTGTGCTTGCTGGCAGAAGACACCCGATGAAAACAGTGCTTGCGTGACGTGCGGAGAAGCCGAGTTCTGTGTTAGCACAATAACTCTTCCGCCTCAGAAGCGGATCAGCGGAAAGTGTGCGCAAGCTGAGATGAAAGTCCCTTGAAAGAAGGACAGCTACAGTAAGCCTTCCGGGGAAACTAAAAACCCAACAAAATGAGAGGAGGCAATTTCAACGGTGGAGGGAAACTGACTGTCAGACAGTGCAGGGCTGGCATTGCGCGCCAGAAGTGCACAGAACCACCACGAAAATAGCAAGAACATGTAACCACAATCGTAACCGTTTTCTGGTCATGCGAATGTCGCAAAACCATTAGCCACTGTGATGAGGGGATGTGGCAACGTGGAATTCAGCCAAGCTCAATTCGTTTTTGCGGTAACACCTTATGGACCGCTGCCAACATTGTGTCTCCACATATGGCGTACTAGTAATGCATTACTGCCTATTTCTTCAGCAATCAGTCTTTGTTGTTGGCTTACTAGCTCATTGCATATAACCAATTTGACCACAAATCATACCACCACACATCATTACGTACTGATAAACAACTTCCTCCTACACACTACTGTAACCATACGGCTGGACCCAGCCAACGAAACAAAGCGACCAGCTTCGGAAGCTAGTGAACCAGCTAGCGAGGTGCGAAAAGGTTTGGGAAGTGTGACAATGGAAGAGCGATCTGATGGTGGTGGAGCGGGCCAGAGGTGACCAATATGGTGATATGACAGGTATGTGCATGGACTGCTGTTCGGATGTGCTATGCCATGGTGCTGCTGGGTTGACGGGAGAAAGGCAAAGGAATAAAAAACAGTTATTTGAATGATTCATCAGCTAGGGAGAACACTGGAGCGAGGATCAAAAGGAGGAGCAAGAGAGAGGGTTGAAAGAGATGTGAAATGGAAAGTGAGTGCCTGAGAACAGGTAGAGAGGGAAGGGTGGAGAGTGAGGGGTTGGACAGGAGAAAAAGGCAGGAGAGATGTACAAAATGAGACAAGGGAGGGATGGAGAAGGGATTGCGGGTGGGTAGAAGAGTGAGGGAACGTCAACACGCAGACGTTGGGTTCGGACCGTCATACCTAAAGAGCAATAGTGCGGGCAGCATCCAGCGTCGCTGCATTTACTTCTCGGAGGAGTTAGGGCCGCGCTTCTTGCCGAATCCCACCACTGCAGAGCGGGGAATGGACAAATGGCAAGGGGGAGGCGAGATGGAAGGATCGTCAAGGCACACGGACAGCACGGTTGCTGCGTGTGATAACAGGGTCAACTTTTTGCCGAATTCCACCATTGTAGGACACGGAGGGGCGATAGAGAGATGCATAGGAGGGCGAGCTGGCGGGAGTGAGTAGGCAGAACGAGCAGTACAGGTGATTCGTCGCCGACGCTCGTGACTCACGCTCGTGACACACGCTCGTAACACAACCTCGTGACTCACGCTCGTAACACACGCTCGTGACATACGCTCGTAACACAGCCTCGTGACTCACGCTCGTAGTGTACAAATAGTAACAATAACTAAAGTAACGCTAGCTTGACGTCCCCCCGATGTGCGAGCCTGTTGCTCCTCTGTGCGACGCTGCTGCGACACGTGTGCGAGAACGCTACTATATAGCACGTACCCCTGTCGCCGAGTGCGACGAAACACAGTCGGAGCCTAAAAATGACTATTTGACTCCCTCGGCTTGCAACTGCGCAATCTGACCTAAATCAAGCCTGCTTCTGCGGCTTAAGCAGCCTCGATATCTGACCTAATCAAGCCTTTGCTGCTGCTACCAAGAAGCAGACCGTGCTCTCTTCTACCCGCAGCTCTGTCAAAAAGAAAGTCACGTGGCGGCCCACGATCGAAGGTGACTACAACGAGTGTGCTCGTACCGGCGGTGACGAAGCGGCGGTTGTACTGCATGCGCTTGTGCGCGCGGCCCTTGGGCTGCTTCTTCTTGTCCTGCTTCTCCACCTTGGGCGTCTGCCCGCGCACCTTACCGGCACGCGCCAACGATCCGTGCACCTTACCTGCGCGCAAATGGGTGCGGGAAGAGGGGGTGGGGAAGCGGAGGTGGAGGGGGAAAGATGAAGTGCGAGAAGAGGGGGTGGGAATGAAAAGCGAGGGGGTGTCGACAGTTTGGGCATCTGCCCTCGCACCTTACCTCCGCGCAAGTGTGGGGAAGAAAGTGGGGAGATAGGGGGGAATGGGTCGCGGAGAAGGGATGGGGATGAACGGGAGGCAAATGAGAGGGTGTCGACAGCTTGGGGTTCTGATCACGCACCTTGCCGGCACGAGGCAAACGGTTTGGGTACCTTAGCTGGTCTCGCATGATAGTGAGACCGTGAACGTTGAAGACGATCAGGATAATAAGAACGGCAGATCGCATCACTAAATGACCGACACAATCGCTGCTAAAACAGTAAGACCTCGGAGCAAAAGGTAAACATGATATCTGTTTTGTGTTGCACTAAGTTGGAGGGAAATCTGGATAGTCGAAATAGGTCTGATTAATCTTCAACAAACGACACAGACACGCGAAAGCTGCTCGGCGGTGCGGTCAGCACGTTTCGGCAAAATTAGGTCAGGGTTTCGGGGTTTGTTACAACTCGCTTCATTACCTCGCAATCAATCAGCTATGCGCTACGAAACGCTCCTAAAACATAGAGTTGACTCACTCATGGTGGAATGTGGAGTCGCGACGTCGCGAGCAACGAAGGGAACGGCGGCACGGAGAGTGCAAGGAGCTAAAGCGGAGGAGACTAAAGCCGCGAAAAGAGATCTTGGAAAAAGGAGTTGGCGGAAAATAAGACGAGGTTAGAAAGCCAGGGTACGGGCGCGCGCGGAGGTTGAGAACGCAATGGCGCGCGGAGAAGCATAGAGAAGCGCAGAAGTGGGGGAAATGGGAGGGAGTTGTTGCGGAAAATATTGAAATCTGGGGGGTTGATTGCGGGTGGCGGAAGCAATGTTTATTCTCGTTACAATCCGATGCTTTTGCATTTGGAAGCCGGTGCAGAAGATTCCCAGCATGTAGGCAAAAGTTGCTTGCGATGATTCTCCGTAGAATGTTTCCTAGACGGGTACAATTAGCACTTGAAAAGGACGGTCACCGCTCTGCGCCGTATTTAAACTCACTTTTATAGCAGATTACCAGGTACAACCCCTCTCAAAGTACCGACTTTGGGCCCGTCGACGCTGGTCTCCGAATTCCTACATTTGCTGGAATCCCGATTTCTCTTGCAGCTAGACCTTCCCCGCTTGCGCTGCGGTTTCTTCTGCAAGCACGCAAGTTGTGAAGTCATCAGACCATTGCGGTGATCACCATTACCGTCGACTGTATAATTTGTCCTTGGACAAATCAAGGTACGACTGGCGAGGAGAATCCGGCGAATTTTTAGCCAAAGCTCTTCGAATAATTGGTGTCGGGTCACCATACCGTTGGTGCAATACCCCGTTGGATCTCCATACCGAAACGCGAACCGCGCGGCGTCTTGAACCCCAGCAGTAGCAAACGCGCGGCAGGAAGCAGATGGGTCCCCGCGACGACGGCGAAGATCCGCAGAGCACAGGCAGCGGCGCAACTCTATGGGGAAAGTTGGCGGAGACATGCAGGTGTGTGATGTGGGGGCGGGGTGGGGAGGAGAGGCCGGGGGGGAGGAGAGGCCGGGGGGAAGGTGGGGAGATGAGTGTGGAAAAAGGGGAGGAGTAGATTGCCTGGCGACACTTACTTGGAATTACATTCACTCTCTCCTCCCCTTCCCCCTTCCCCTCCCCCCTCACCCTCCCCCCTCTCTCACCCCCCCTCCCCCCTCTCTCACCCCCCCTCCCCCCCACACGCGCTGCTTAGCTTGATGCCTGGGCTTGCCGGGCCATTGATGGTGAAGTTCCATTTGAAAATGCGATCCGTACCCCTCCCCTCATCTCCACCACCACCCCACCCCCCCCCCTCCTCCCGCGCTCCTTGGTTTGATGCCTGGGCTTGCTGCCAGGCCATTGGTGGTGAAGTTCCATTTGAGGTCGGTAATATCGCTGGGCTTGTCTACTTTTGAGGCGCCTCAAAAGTAGGCCTGAGCTTGCCGGGCCATTGATGGTGAAGTTCCATTTGAAAATGCGATCCGTATCCCTCCCCTCCTCTCCACCACCCCCCCCCCCCCCCCCCTCTCCCATCCCCCCTCCCCCCGCTCCTTGGTTTGAGGCCTGAGCTTGCCGGGCCATTGATGGTGAAGTTCCATCTGAAAATGCGATCCTTACCTGTGCCGAACCACGCCAATTGTCCCCTTCCAGGTATTATACGGGCCTTCCCAAGCCTCGCGTGGAGGCTCGGGTGGTGGAGTTCCGATCCGAGAGGCAGTTCGTGTCGCTGCTGCAGCAGGGAAAGCCAGTCGCAGTGGCCTTCACCTTCTCGTGAGTGCCCTTCAGCTAGTCATTCGTCTTGCTCGCGTCTGCTATGCTGCATCAGGCACACATGTGTGGGGCGGGTAGTTCGTGCCGCTGCTGCAGCAGGGAAAGCCGGTCGCCGTGGCATTCACCTCCTCGTGAGAGCCTTGCTTGCACCTTCACCTCCTCGTGAGAGCCTTGCTTGCACCTTCACCTCCTCGTGAGAGCCTTGCTTGCACATTCACTTTCTTGTGGCCTTCCTTAGTACAGCAGCGGCACCATCTACCCTGCTGGTGCCTCACACGAGCCTGACATGAGCTTGGCATGAGCTTGGCACGAGCTTGGCACGAGTCTGGCACGAGTCTGGCACATTAGCCCGAGTCTGCTGTGCTGCCGCAGGCCACACAGCTGTGGCTGGGCAATTGGTGTCGCTGCTGCAGCAGGGGAAGTGACACCAGTTGCTGTCGCCTTCACCTTCTCGTGAGTCTGGCGTATCAGGCGAGTCTGATCGCAAAGGCGTTCCTCTGGTTGCTTCAGGCTGACAGTTGTGGGTGGGCAGTTCGTGTCGCTGCTGCAGCAGGAGAAGCCAGTAACCATAGCGTTTACCTTCTTGTGACTCTGGCGTATTTCTGAAAAGCCATTCTTGCCTCCTCTGCACTTTCATCCACTTCCACCCTGCAGGTGTGCACACACGCGACATTTCGATGAGATGTTTCGACAAGCATCAGCCGACCTCCACCCGCATGTCAACTTCATCCGAGTAAGTGCTCTGCTCACGGGTGTGTCTTCCCGTTGTCCATTCCGTTCCCGTTCCCCCCATGCTGTTCCCCCCATGGCCTTGCTCCCTGATGTTTCGACAAGCATCAGCCATCCTCCACCCGCATGTCAACTTCATCCAAGTAAGCATGCTGTTGTGCCCATGCTGCTTGCAATTACTGCCCATGCTGCTTGCAATCACTGCCCATGCTGCTTGCAATCACTGCCCATGCTGCTTGCAATCACTGCCCATGCTGCTTGCAATCACTGCCCATCACCTCAAACCCCTCCAGTGGTTCACATCTTGCCCCTCCGCATGCTGCTCCCCATGCTGCTCCCCCCATCATGCTGCTCCCCATGCTGCTCCCCCCATCATGCTGCTCCCCATGCTGCTCCCCCCATCATGCTGCTCCCCATGCTGCTCCCCCCATCATGCTGCTCCCCATGCTGCTCCCCCCATCATGCTGCTCCCCATGCTGCTCCCCCCATCATGCTGCTCCCCATGCTGCTCCCCCCATCATGCTGCTCCCCCCATCATGCTGCTCCCCATGCTGCTCCCCCCATATGGTGCTCCCCATGCTGCTCCCCCCATCATGCTGCTCCCCCCATCATGCTGCTCCCCATGCTGCTCCCCATGCTGCTCCCCCAATCTTGCCATTCCCCCATCATGCTGCTCCCCCCATCATGCTGCTCCCCATGCTGCTCCCCCCATCATGCTGCTCCCCATGCTGCTCCCCCCATCATGGTGCTCCCCATGCTGCTCCCCCCATCATGGTGCTCCCCATGCTGCTCCCCCCATCATGCTGCTCCCCCCATCATGCTGCTCCCCATGCTGCTCCCCATGCTGCTCCCCCAATCTTGCCATTCCCCCATCATGCTGCTCCCCCCATCATGCTGCTCCCCATGCTGCTCCCCCCATCATGCTGCTCCCCATGCTGCTCCCCCCATCATTCTGCTCCCCCCATCATGGTGCTCCCCATGCTGCTCCCCCCATCATGGTGCTCCCCATGCTGCTCCCCCCATCATGCTGCTCCCCCCATCATGCTGCTCCCCCCATCATGCTGCTCCCCATGCTGCTCCCCCCATCATGCTGCTCCCCATGCTGCTCCCCATGCTGCTCCCCCAATCTTGCCATTCCCCCATCATGCTGCTCCCCCCATCATGCTGCTCCCCCCATCGTGCTGCTCCCCCCATCATGCTGCTCCCCCCATCATGCTGCTCCCCCCATCATGCTTCCCCCATCATGATGCTCCCCATGCTGCTCCAAAGGCAACCTGCACTGTGCACCCATGACACGCCAAACACACGGCTGTGCGCACAACCACTGCCAGTCACCTCAAAACATCTCTTTCGTGCCTTTCGAGTTGACTCAAAAGTCATCTCGTGCCTCCACTGCCACGTGGCCTGCCCCAAGCTCTCCCATATACATGTTTGTTTCAGTAGCTCTCAAGCTCTCTGCTGGCATGGCTGCTGGCATGGGTGTGTCATGGCTGCTGGCATGGCTGCTGGCATGGCTGGCAGGTGGATTGCCCCAAGCACCTTGGCTTCTGCATTGCTCGCCAGCGCAAGGACTACCCCTTTATAGAGGTCTTCTATAACTCGAAAGAGGCACAGCGGGACACGGCCCCCTCTGTGGGAGGAGGTGCAGGAGCAGCGGGAGTGGTTCGCTACAGTGTCATGGTCCTACCTGTAAGTCGTATGGTGTATGTGTTGTATCTGGTAACCCATGCTGGGCCGATCTACGGATTGATTTTGTAGCACTGTGGTTGTTTTTCTGCTGTTTGAATGGCAAGTGTGTGTGAGAAAGCTGTCCTGATTTGTCATGTAGAGGTCTGGTTTTGTTACTGTGTTTCATGCTTTCATTACGTTACTTTCGTATTCGTGGTAAATTTTTCTTTCCCATATCTTCTTTTCCCGTTTGTGTGGATTTCCACAAATGCAGTACAACTACGACGTTAGCACGTACGGCTTTAGAGAATTCTTCAAGAAGCATCAACTAATTTCTCCTAGTTTTTTTTTTTTTAAATAAGGGTCTTCATACTTCTAGTCAGTGAGAACTGTAAATTGCTTATTGAGTCAGCCTTGCGTTTGTGCACCAGCATGATTGCTAATCGATGTTAGTTTGGGTATGGTATGGCAGCCATTGGGGTAGAAACTAGTATATTCCTCCCATTGCGTAAGTCAAATGAGGTGCTTATTACCGGGGGTTTTGCAAATCACTTCCAGCGCACATCATGCTGATAGTCAGTGCGACATCAATCAATTTCGCCATTGGTCACCAAAAGGGGCTGTGCGTGCTTGTAGGTGGGACTCGGCTGTGCGATATTTTGATGCTCATCGTACGGCACGTTGCGATGGCAACAAGGATGGTCTGCCTATCGCATGCGAAGCATCCTCCCGTTGCCCCATTGGTCGTTGACCCCTCTCATCGACGTGACCGGCACATCAGTGGCCTGCGACACATCGGCGTCGCGAACACCATACGTGCGACCCATGCCCCACGGCATCGTCTTGTGGGCATGTGTCGCGTCACCACCACTATCGCGCCTCGCTGCGACCTGCTGCGAGAGTGCTGCACGAAGGGGCGTATGTTCTCGGTTTACTCGGGCAGCGCTGCAGATGCGCCTCGTTCTGTCGCGGCGGCACCTACTTGGTGCACGCTGGCGCAAGCTCATTCGTCCGCGCCAGTCAGCACGTTCCGCCCGCAATATCTTGAAACCCTCACCTGCGGAACCCGTCACATTGGCTGCACGCACCGTTGAATTCTTTCCGCGTGTGGCTTACCCCAAACCGGGCAGCGAAGCGCAGACAGAAATGGTGATCTTGCCCGAAACCAAACAAAAAGATTCTTCTAAGTGGAGCAGAGTTTTCTTGCATACCTGACCTTCCAAACTCGCACTACTGCGTCGGATCAGCCCGTGACATTTCCATTCAAATTTGAATCTCGGGTAGCTCGCACTCTTGTTCCGTTCCGCCCCACATTGGAAAATAGAAACGTCGTTGAGCGGGGGGAGGCCACTGCGGAACGTGCGACAGGGTCAACCCAGCGAGCGACGAGCACTCTACAGGCGAGACCAGAGCAGACTGGCAAAGCAGGGAGAGAAAAGCAGCAGTAGCGAGGAAACGAAGGGGAAGGCCCAGAAGGCCCCAGTAGCGTCCCTCCCTCTGTGTCAACAACTTCCTCCCACGGGCTAGGATTAGAGGTCTAATAGAACTGCCTACCTACTACTGCTGCTGCTGCTAGGGTTTCGTTAGCTAGTCAGGCGGCCCGTGCCACGTGACAGTTTTTAGCGCGTTCTTCCCGCAGGTTTTTTTTTTTTCTCAGCCTCCGCCAATGCAATGGCGATATGTTGACCGGAACCAATCACACCAGGTTTCCCGTGTGCTGACACGCATGGGCCTTTAGATGGACATTCAAGAAGCGTCCAAGATCCTCTATTCCCGACTGCAGTCGCTCGAAGGAGGCAACGCGTCGAAGCTACTCGGGTGGATGCTAATGCGCGAGAATGCCGACCAGGACCTAGCGGCGCTCGCGAAAGGCTCCGACGCGCAGCTCATGTCGGCCATTGGGATCGCGAAGCGGAACCTTAGCGTGTACTCGTCCATACCAGGATGGCAACACCAGGTACGCAGGATTTTCCTTTGAAGCGCCTCGAAGGCTATGTTTGTTTTTGGATTGCGAAACGGATTCTCAGTCATGTGCTCGTCTATGCGACGACGATGGCAGCGTCATTTGCCCGCTTTATCCGCCCACTCCGTTTTCCTCTGTCGTTCCCTTGTCAGAGGTTTTGTTATTCTTGGCACGGAACCAGACGTACTCGATATTTCTGTGGCAGTAAATCGCGCCAGTCGATTAAGCCTTAATCCGCGAGACCAATCTAAAGCCGTGTTTCATTGTTCTGTTTGATGGGGGCGTGCATCGGGGTGATTATGTGATGCGCGATGGGTGTGGGCGTGACTATGGTGTTCCGCCATGGCTCTGCGCGCGCTACAGGGGGTTCTTGCGGAGATCCGGCTTCAGCAGGAAAGCGCGGCGTGCGTTGCGCGACAACGGACCGCCGCCGCTCAGTCGTTCGTCCACACTCACCAAGCTTCCACAGACAGGTAAGTGCTATCTTTTTGTTTTTTAAATACTATGCAGATTCTCGAACCGCAGCGAGTTGATTCTTTTTTTCTCTCTCTCTCTCTCTCTCCTCCGTTCTCTTTTCTTTCTACTTCTATTCAACTCATTAAGTTTTCTCTTCCGTCCTTCCTGTTCCCCCACCTCAGGTTTCCTCATTCCGACCGTTTCTCTCCCTCGACGCAAGCAGCCCTCGCGTCGCTCTCCCCCAATACACCCCTCGCTGAACCAACCGACTCTGCCGGTGCCGGCGCCGGCGCGCCCGGCGATGCGGCTGCTGCTCCGACGGCAGCGCGACCGATCCCCACGGATGCCCCAGCGATTCCCCACCTGACCGCTCTCCACGGCGCAAGTGGCGCTGCGAGCGACTACGGCTCGTCGCCCGAGAGTTCGCAGTCGTCGTTCATGTTCAAGCGATGCCATTATTTCGCACGCGGATTCTGCAAGCACGGCAGCGCGTGTCGCTTCCTGCACGCGTCGCACGGCCAGTCGGCGACGGCGCCCGTGTCGTCGCCGGGGTCGCCCAGTGCGACGAGCTCGGACGGCACGATGGCGGCTGCGACGTATCCCGAGCCGCAAGGCGCGGAAGAGACTGCTGCTTTGAGCTGCACAACCGCGAGCGGCGGCGGCGTCGACGGTTCCGGGGTTGATGCTAGCGGGGATAACGACAGAGTGAGCCGCGGTGACGGTGGAGATTCCTTTGCTGGTAGCACCCCCGCGCCCGGCGGCGGCGGTGGCGGCGACGGTAGCGGTGGTGGTGTGGCCGGATCTGCTGCTGGCGGGCTTGCGGGCGGCAGCCCGGGTTCTGCGGCGGGTTTCACGCTGGAGCGGCTCGAGACGGAGCTTCACGAGCTCCTCAGAGAGCACAAGGGGCCCATCCACGTGGCATCGCTCCCTCAGCTATACGCGGAGAGGTTCGGGAAGCCGTTGCAAGCGGAGGGGTACCTAACTGAGAGCCAGCGGCAGGGGCGGCCCGGACTAAGCTTAACTAAGTTACTTGCGCAGATGAAATCGTCTATTGCGTTCGTTGATAGGCCGAGCGGGCAGCGCGCGATCGTTCTAAAAGGGTCGCCAATTCTGGAGGAATCTAAAAAGTTTATCTCGTTTAAGGAGCGAGCGGATTTGGCGCCGCCTAGTCCGGGGTCGCGGCAGATTTATCTCACTTTTCCGGCCGAAAGCACGTTCACAGAGGATGACGTGGCAGCTCATTTCAGGTACACGTGGCAGCCGTAGAGTACACCTCGTTCTTCCCCTACGTCCCCCCTCCTATCCCGGTCCTATCCGGGCTCTGCTTATTCCGCTCCTCCTTCCGCCTCCTTTCCCCTTCCCTTCCCAGCTCTGCGCAGCAAGTTTGGCCCCGTGCACGAGGTGCGCGTGCCGCACCAGCAGAAGCGCATGTTCGGGTTCGCTCCCCCTAATCTTTTCCCCTACCTCTTCCCCCTCTCGTCCCCCGTTTCCCCCGCAGCAAGTTTGGCCCCGTGCACGAGGTGCGCGTGCCGCATCAGCAGAAGCGCATGTTCGGATTCGTGACATTCGCGTTCGCGCACAGCGTGAAAGCGATTCTCGAGGAGGGTAACCCGCACCACATCGGCGGCTCGCGCGTGCTCGTCAAGCCGTACCGCGAGAAGTCGCGCCACGGCAGCGCCGCCACGGCCGCGCACGGCCACGCGGAGCGGAAGTCGCGCGCGGGAGGGGACCGCGGCGCACAGGTGTCGCCCGCGAAAGGCGCCATGGAGCCGTATTCGGGTAAGAGCCGCAATAAAGTTTAGTGTTTTAAAAGGTCTCAAAATAGGATTCAAGTACTGTGTGCTATCTTAGAGCAGTTTTATATTTTTACAGTACTAGTTATGTGTTACCTTTATCGTTTGCAACTGTTACAATCTCGTCTCGGCTGTTAACGCCTTTTGTATTACCCGCTTGGTACAGTAGTCACGTGTTATCTCTGTTATTTATTTGTGTTGCCTCTGTTTCGCGTGTTACAGACGATTCCCCCCCGCCGCCCATTCCCAAGTCGTCCAAGCGACTCTTCCCCGCGAAGAACGCGCTTCAGCAGCCGCAGCAGCGGTCGCTGCAGCAGCCACGTCAGCACCAACCGCAACCGCCGGCGCCGCAGCTGCAGCAAGCAGACGAAGGGGAGGAGCAGCAATCAACGCAGCAAGGGCAGCAGCAGCAGCAGCAAACGCACGACGCGCAGCAGCAGCAGCGTCAGCTGCAGTCGCAGCAGCGATCTCGTCTGGAAGGCGGGTGGGAGAGCGATCACAGCCATCCGATTCACCACCACCACGTGTCAGCCTCATACGAAGCATCTCAATACGGTTCCCCGTCTCCTTCCCCTTTCCCTACTCCTGCCGCAGCCGCCGCTGCTGCTGCTGCTGGCGCTGTCACTGGTGCATCCCCCTTGTCCGCCTCTCCCTACGCGCGTACCTCCTCCTCCTCCATCTATGCGTCTGCTTCCGCCTCTGCTTCTCTGTCGTTCTCCTCTGCGTATTCTCCTGCGTCTGCTGCTGCTGCTGCTGCTGCGGCTGCAGCAGCTTCCGCGGCTGTCTATGACGCGCCGCCCAGGCGCAAGAACCTGTATCAGTCGCTGTCGTTTCGGGACGCAGCGGCTTCGCAGCAGCTTGCGCAGCACACGTGGCAGCACCGGCAGCAGCACTACCACCACCAGCAAGAAGATCAGCTGGGTGGCCACGAGCAGTGGCAGGTGCGGCTGCAGCAGCAGCAGCAGCAACGGCAAGAGCAGCAGCAGCAGCAGCAGCAGGGGGCAAGCGAGGGGCAGTGGCAGGTGCGGCAGCGGCTGCAGCAGTGGCAGCAGCAGGAGGAGAGCGCTCGGCAATCCCTAGGGCTGGGCGGGATCGCCCTGGGGGACGTGGGACGGGCGTTTTCCGGCAGTGACGTGGACGCATTGCGGGGGGGAAGGGGCGTGGGGGGCGTGGGGGGCATGGGGCCCGTGGGGGGCGTGGGGGACGTGGGGGGAATGGGGGGAATGCGTATGGGTGGTATGGGCGGCATTGGAGGCATGGGTGGGATGGCTGGTGGTACGGACGAGCATCTTTTCAAGCCGACCTCTCACAGCCTCGCCTCCTCCTCTTTCTCCTCCTTCGCCTCCTCCATTTCGTCAGGGTTGACCGGATTCGCCTCTGCTCGCACTCCCATGGAGCACTCTTTTAGCTTTGCGTCCTCCTCCCTCTCCTCGCTCTCCTCTCTTCCCGGCTATGGCACTACCGCCACCATAACCAGCTCTACAGCCCACTTCCCACATGGTGAGTGTTTTACGTCCAAGTGGTGTTATGGCTTGGCTCCTCCTCCCTCTTGCTCGTCTCGTGTTCCTCTCCCCTCTTCCCGGCTATGGCAACTCGAAGACGTCTTACAAGGCAACTCACCCCTGCTTGTCCCCCTCTTCCCCCGCCCCCCTCTTCCCCCGCCCGCCTCTTCCCCCTGCCCGCCTCTTCCCCCTGCCCGCCTCTTCCCCCTGCCCGCCTCTTCCCCCTGCCCGCCTCTTCCCCCGCCCGCCTCTTCCCCCGCCCGCCTCTTCCCCCTGCCCGCCTCTTCCCCCTGCCCGCCTCTTCCCCCGCCCGCCTCTTCCCCTGCCCGCCTCTTCCCCCTGCTCGCCTCTTCCCCCCTGCGTTCCTCCCTCGTGTCCCCAACAGGCGATGCAGCCCCTGAGGCCCTTCCGCAAACGCCCACACACCGGCAACTCGATGATGTCTTGTAAGCTCGCTCCTCCCTCCCTCGCTCCTCCCTCCCTCGCTACTCCCTTTCTCACTCGCTCCTCCTCCCTCGCTCCTCTCCGCTGCTCCTCTCCCTCTCCTCTCTCTCTCTCTCTCTCTCTCTCTCTCTCTCTCTCTCTCTCTCTCTCTCTCTCTCTCTCTCTCTCTCTCTCTCTCTCTCTCTCTCTCTCTCTCTCTCTCTCTCTCTCTCGCTTTCGCTCCACTTTCATGCTGTTGTTTTCTTCCTCTTACCCCCTTTTTGTTTCCTGCAGTAGTGATCTGCACTCGCTCCTGCCAGACAGCCCTTCACCTCTCCACTAATGACCAGCACCGCCAGCAGCGCCAGCACCATCACTCGAAGGCTCATTCCTCTCTCTCCCCTGCCTTTCCCCCCGTTCCTGCAGCGATCTGCACTCGCTTCTCCCTGACAGCCCCTTCACGTCCTCCCTGATGACCAGCACTGCCAGCACTGCCAGCACTGCCAGCGCCCCGTCACTCGAAGGCTCATTCCTCTCTCCCCCCTGCCTTTCCCCCGGTTCCCCCCGGTTCCCCCCGTTCCCCCCGTTCCCCCCGTTCCCCCCGTTCTCCCCGTTCCCCCCGTTCCCCCCGTTCCCCCCGTTCTCCCCGTTCCCCCAGCGATCTGCACTCGCTTCTGCCAGACAGTCCCTTCACCTCGCCCCTGATGACCAGCACCGCCAGCAGCGCCAGCGCCATTGCTAGAGACAAAAACCAAGACCGTCTGCCGCCCGCTGCTGCGCTCACCGCTGGCACCGCCGCAGCATGGGACGACGCAGACCGCCAAGAAACTGTTCCTTCTTCGTCCTCTTCTGCGTCCTCTGCTGCCCTCTCCCGGTTCTTCAGCCCGTCGCTTTCGACCGTTCTTGCCCCTCCCCCTCCCCCTCCTCCACCTCCACCTCCCCTTCCTCTTGATCCCCTTCATATTCAACATCAGCATCAGCATCAGCAGCAGCAGCAGCAGCAGATTCTGCCTGGTTCCACACGCCGCGCCTCGTTTGGAGGAGTGTCCTCTGCTGCTGTTTCCTCCCTTGCTCCTGCTGCTCCGTTTTCTGCAAGTGCCTTTCCCCCTGTCAGCTCTATACAGCAGCAGCAGCAGCAGCAGCAGCAGGTCTCAGGCACTGCGTCCCTGTGGGGTCAGACAGTGGGGGGAGAGGCTGTAGTGGGGGAGACAACTGCACAGCTAACTGCTTCTATTGGGGAGCTCAGTATGGGGGATACACAGCAGCAGCAGCAGCAGCAGCAGCAGCAGCAGCAGCAGCCGCAGGAGGAGCATGGGAGGGTGGTGGCGAGCGTGTGGGGCCACACCTGTGACTCCTGCTCGGGTAAGAAGAGCCCTTGGGTGTGAGACGAGGCTTGTGCGTTGAGGGTTGAGTACCACGGTGTGGGGCCACACCTGCGATTCCTGCTCAGCGGCGGTGCCAGCTGTGTTGTCATTGATTCTCCCGTTCCCCCCACTCATGTTGTGTCACCTCATCTGTTCTGTTTTTCTCCCTTTTCACTCCTCTAATCTTCCCTCCCCTGCCCCGTTTCCCTCCTGTCCCGTTGCTCACCTGTCCGGGTGCGCCCTCCCCCAGAAGCGGCCTACACCATGCAGCTCGCGTGTGGTCACTACCATTGCACCAAGTGTGCCCCGCAGGTGAGGTGTAAGAAGCGGTTGAGAGCGGTTGGTACACTGCCTACTAGCCTGCTTTCTCCTTATGGCCCTTCTTACCTTCCCTTTCCTTTCCTCCTTCCCTCTCCCGTACCCCATGCTTCTTCCCCCTAAAACCGCTCATTGTGGTGTGTTGTGGGTGAAAACCAACTGGCCAGCTTACCAGCCAGCTTTCTTATCCGCCTTTTCTGATGCCTCTTCTTTCCAATGTTCCACGTCTTCCCCCATGCACAGACAGACTTTAGAGACGTCTCTAAAGTTCCCCCATGCACAGACTTTAGAGACGTCTCTAAAGTTCCCCCATGCACAGGGCTCCTCATTGTTGTGTGTCGGCGTACCGCCTACCAGCCTGCTTGCCTCTTGCTCATATGCTGGATCTCTCTGCTTTCCTCTTTCCCACGTCTCCCCCCATTCACAGGGCCCCTCGTCGTGGTGTGGTGTGTGCCAGCACACCGCCTACCAGCCCGCCTCCTCTTACCTCGTTGCACAAACTCCCTGGAAGGTTCCTACTCAAGAAGCTGCGTGGAAGGTTCCTGCTCAGGAAGCTGCCTGGAAGGTTGCTTCGTTGCAGCTGCAGCCACGCAGCAACAGGTCTCCGTCCTGGTGAGAGGAGGGGAGAGGAGGAGGTGAATAGGAGGGAAGAGGAAAAGAAAGTTGTTGCTTTGGGCAGCAGTGACTATTCAACGTCCCAGCTCTTGGGGGGCGTTGGGATGATGACCGTTACAGTATGCATTAGGGATCACTGGGATAGGAAACAGGAGAAGGATAAGAGTGATTGTGACAGGAGAAGCAGAAGCAGAAGCAGAAGCAGAAGCAGAAGCAGAAGCAGAAGCAGAAGCAGATGCAGCAGAAGCAGCAGAAACGCAGCAGCAGAAGCTGAGGCAGCAGCATGGGGATGGGGGGAACGTTGGTGACACAAGATCAAATCTCTTCTCCTGTTCGCGCTCAGTCTCTGTACGGCTGCAATTCCCTCGGCTCTTGGTCTCTATACAGAGCATCGGTCTCGGCAGTCTGTCTCTATACGGGTTTTCCCTTGCCCCACAGTTTTGACATACACACACGTTTTTCACTGAATCCACTTCAGGCGCTGAGTGCACCTGGAGGGTGGGGATGTGCACGAAATTTAGACGGCTGCTGTTTCAATGTGTTTTGAGACGTCTCAGTCCATGGAAGGGAGGTATGGGCTACCCGAGGAGACTTCCCCCAAATACTGCAGGAGGATGCCAGGAATTTGGCTACCCGACTTGGCTATACTGGAATTATAAAAGGTGCCCATGAAGAGGGTGTGACTATAAGAGGCAGGAGCTGTTTTGAAGATGCCGACAGCTTGATGAGACGGTTTCAAAGGTTGTGACTTGTGGCAGTCTGGAGTTGAGAGGAAAATGGTCCGACCAGGAATGGGAGGGTCGTCTGTGGCCCATGAGGTTGGGTCTCTGAAACAGCATTGTCACATCCACTCCCCTCCCTTCTCCCCTCCCCTTCCCTTCTCTCCTCACTTTCTATCCTTACCTGCTTCCCTTCTTCTCAACACAATGACCAGCACTCTGTACATCACCCATTTCGTTCTTCTTCACCCGTTCCGTTCATCTTCGTGTCTCCACGTGACAAGAGATGGGCGTGTTCGAGAATTGGGATGCACTTGGCACGTGCATTAGGCTGGCGGCCAAAGCCCAACAGGTGCAAGCAATAATTTATAGGTTGGGAGGAGTGTAGCTTTTAGGAGTCGACAAAACCCTCCATTTTAGCGATTCTTGTTAGGCCTAGTAATTGGGACAAGATAACTGTAGGTCCCTTTTTTACACACCTAGATATTAATTTGAACTGCATGCCTTGGTGCTGATGTGGCTAGTTTAGGCAGTAGATATAAGCATTGAATTGAAACTAGTTATCGTCCTTCAGTTGAGCTCTTCCGACATTTGTTTCAACTGAGCATGGTACCGCAGGTATTATATGTATTATGTTACCGTATCATACGTTGATCAAGCTATCAAAACACACCAGCCGTGCAGCAATGGCATCTGATAGGTTGCTGCTTATCTTTGCTTTTCAAGAAACCAAATCAGGAAAGAGCAACGTTGACTTCATAGATCCGTGCACCAATGTTGATAAACAAATATAAGCGGGAATGCAGCTACCGCCATCGCACACAACAATAAATGAACAGGTTGGATGGAGTCTTCAAACCAAGCCGCCGCCATTCCCCTCAAGTTATATCCGGGTGCAGGACCTTCTGCTATAGGTTGTAGCAGCAGCTCATTACTGATTCTACTGTATGAATCTGTACTTCAGAACTGGCACTACACCAAGAATAATGTTCAGTGGAGGAATCGCTGCTGCCTCTGCGGTAACCAGGCAACCATCACTGTGATTCAACCATGGCAAGGGCTGGCTGTAACCTCCCAAACCCGGCCTCTCTGCTATTCCCATTGTGCCTGGAATTCTTATGCTGCTGCTGCTGCTGCTGCTGCTTGGGCTGCTGCAGACACTTTTTCAGAAACGCCTCCAACTCTGCCGAGTAAATTTCCGGGAAGGTTCGGTAGTGGTCCACGTGCGGCGAGGAGTCAAACCTCTTGAACATGACGGCGCACCCGCGCGCTCTCTGCCGTTGAATGAACGACTCGACGGCCTCTGCTGGAATCACCGTGTCTGCTGTGCTGTAGAGATAGAGCTGCGGGCACTCAGGTTGCTCTGAGGCGAGCGTGCTTGTGACTGTATCGAGCTTGCTGTTATCGAGAATCCACGGGAAAAGAAAGTCAGAGGGGAATGAAGGTAGCAGGGTGACAGGGAGCATGACGTCAATGCCAGCAATTGCATAAAACTGTCAGAAAACACAGGACAATGTCAAACGAGATGAGCAATATACACATTAGAGATGAGGAACCTGAGATAATGCACTATGACATCATACATGCAGCATGACATCATACATGCACTATGACATCATACATGCAGCATGACATCATACATGCACTATGACATCATACATGCACTATGACATCAGACATGCAGCATGACATCATACATGCACTATGACATCATACATGCAGCATGACATCATACATGCACTATGACATCATACATGCAGCATGACATCATACATGCACTATGACATCATACATGCAGCATGACATCATACATGCACTATGACATCATACATGCACTATGACATCATACATGCACTATGACATCATACATGCACTATGACATCATACATGCACTATGACAAAAAATGCAAGACGACATGATGCAATATGGCCAGATGTGACATGATGCAATAAGAGCTGATGTGACATGATGCAATAAGAGCTGATGTGACATGATGCAATATGAGCTGATGTGACATGATGCAATATGGCCAGATGTGACATGATGCAATATGACCTGATGTGACATGACACAATGTCTGCACGTGTTGTGAGTACTTACGCACGTGCTTTATGCATGCCAGAGCTTTTTCTACGCATCAACTTACGTCTTGACAACAGGGAGCTGCAGCACCCACGTGAAGAACCTTCGCAGAACGTTCAGCAATGTCTTCTCCACCGCATCCTCCTCCGCCTTCACCACCTTCTTCACCCCTCCCTCCCCCGCTCGCTCTCCCGCTACACCACCCGCGCTCCGCCTCCTCTCCTTCCTCTCCTCTCCCTCCTCCACAACGTCCATCTCAGCAGTGAGAGACGCGAAGCCTAGGGAACTGCGATGGTGGTGCTTCGGACCGTCGATCGCGGCGGGGCGAGCTTCGTCTTTCGGCTGTGCGTCCCACTCGCCTCTTTCCGTCACCACCCACACCTTCCCATTCGCCTCCTTCTCAACCGCTTCAGCGCTTCCCTTCGCAAAGCCGCCCGCGGAAGATGATTCGGCCTTCGGAACTGCCGAGTCAGAAGCAGCGGACGCTTCCGCAGTTGCGGAAACCTCCGTGCGCCCCGCGCGGGTGGCGGAGCTGCGCTTCTGCAGGATCGCGGCGGCGAATCCGCGCGCCCACACCTGCGGGTCCTGCTCCAAGATCGGCGCGGAATCTACGACGCATCCCTTGATCGCCGCGTCGATTGCCGCCTTGCCGTACTTATCATGCAGCCGATTAAGTACCGCTCCGTAGGTCAGCCATCCCGTGTTACTGAAAGTGTGGAACATCAGCGTGCGTGGCTCTTTCGGCTCTCCCTGATTCACGGGGGCTGACGTGGCGGATAAGGCCGCCTCTGGACCAGTTCCCGATAGCCACCTGTGCAGCTCGTCTACTAAACTGTCCACGTGGACTTCCGCCTTCTCTCCGGGTCGGATACTGAGGACGTCTTTAAACGGGATGACGAACGTGATTACGTCGAAACCGCGTGACGTGTACCACTCAGCGTACCGCCGCAAATGCCGCTGCTGCGCGCCGAGCCAACCCAGCAACACCACCACCGGCTTCGCGGCTTCTGACGGCGGGCCAGACCCGTCCAATTCACCGGCCACGCCGTCGCCGTCAGATCTGACGGCTGACAGGTGCCATTGGTGAAAAGGCTTGGACGAATGGATGTCGCCGTTAAAAAGACCGGAGATCGGTAAAGATGACGGTGGTAGGGAGAACATACTACCCAAGGGGAACCCAAAAGCGTTACCACTCGGGTTACTTCCATAACTTGCTGCGATCGACCGTTGTGACAATCGCGGACTAGGGAAAAGGGTCGACGGCGCGATAAGACGGGACAGCTGCTGACGAGAAGGGGAGAAAAGTCGATTGGACTCTAAGGCGTACGGAATGGCCGATCCTGTAAACATGCTGCCTAAACCTCGGTACGATGCTTGTGGTAAATGATAGGAGGCGGGGGACGCGGAGTGAAACGAGATGGGCGAGGCGGCGGCGATACTGGACTCTGGACAACGAGCGGAGGCGGCGGCGGAGGCGGCGGATTGGAGCATCACGGTCGAAGCTATCCCTACCCCGGACGATTTGAACCGCGATGCAGCAGGATCGGCTATGGCATGCGTGAAGCGGTGGCGTGCAGAGGAGGCGGGAGACGCGGCCATGGCGGAATGGACGAGCACGGCAGGACTCGGAGCGGTGCGACGATCGGGGACTTCGGAGCTGACTGCTGCTGTGGCGACTGCTGCAGCCGCTGCTGCCGCTAGAGTTGGAGCAGCAGTTGTGGAAACTCGAACGACTAGCTGGCTAGCCATAGCCGATCGGGTCACGGTTAGAGATAGTCGCCTAGCAAACACGAAGATGTCCGTCTCGCCTCTCGACTCACGATAGGATCAAAGCGGTGCTTCCAAGGGCAGGACCAACCCTCCTCCACAACCTCTCTGGAGTAGCTGACGGGAGTCGAGGTGATCAAGGAGCAAGCCCACCATCCTTGATTGAAGCTTACAGCTGATGCTCACACCCTGCACGCGAATATGCCCTGCGCCGGGCGGAAACCTTGCACCCGTGGTTTTTGTACCAGCCAGTTGCACCCACGTTATAAGCACGCCGAGCAAGTTGCAGTGATATAAACCAACACGAACAACAGAAACTGAAGTTTGACCGAAGAGACTGAAGTCAAAATGTAACAAATTTTCATATGAGCCCTTATAAGCACCTGACGAATCCATATTTGCTAGCTGCGAACTGGCGAAATTTTTGAAACCGTTTACAAGCCCCCTTCACAAGGCAACCTTGGGTTAGTCAAACGAGCATCATGTGTATACAGGTTTACTGTATGAGGACAAAACAAACATCGCCATGGCTGTTCAGTGTCCCCCCATCAGCGAGACTGGTGGTTACCTCGAGATTGGTTGGCGGGAAACCCTCATGCTTCGTCGCGGTCTCTTATGGGTCCATTTCATGGAAGGCGCTGGTGGTGGAACGGCTGACGGAAATGCTGGCGAATCACACTGTTGTGAGGTGGACACGTCAGCACGAGCCGACACTCATCCGAAGCTGTGGGCCAGGTGCTGGGGACCACCGCTTGCTGACATGTACAAAACGCGGACTACCACGGCCGCACAAGTCTTGGAGCGGCTGGTGTGGGCGTTCTGACCTGGCTCATTTCTTTAGATGTGGAAGATGCTACACGTTGCTGTTCGAATGTTTCAGATACGAAAATGCTACATGCAACAGAAATAACCATGGTGACAAGGGCCTCAGATTTCAGGAATTTTACCCTGATTTCCTGAAGTTTGACCCCAGTTTTTTATTGTGACCCTGATCTATCAGCCTTTTTCTTTTTACAACCCTGATGAATCAGTGTTTTATGTTTCCAAGGACTGATTTTCCAGTGTTTCCTGTTTGACGACGCTGACGAGTCAGTGTTTGTCAAAATGAAGAATGGATGAAGCATTGATGTTGGTTGGGGTACATATAGCTAACCCTAAGTTTTGTACCCCCTAAGACAAACCTCACTATAGGCTACAACATTTGACACACCCCCATAGCCTAAGTGAGGGGTGTCTAGCAGAACCAAACGAGTACGGTCACAAGACCAGTCCAAGAAACAAAGCTCAGGGTGGATCACAACGTCACCACACAGTCTGAGCACAAACAACAGTGGCCACAAGGCCAGTCCAAGAAGTAACAGAGATATATAGAAAGCAAAGTAAACAGTACACTCAAGTCTAAGCAACACGAGAACCAGTGTCAACAAGGCCTAACTGCACACAGCACCTCTGGTGGTCACAAGGCGGAAGCGCCTTGGTGAAGATGTCTGCAGTGTTGGCCTCGGACTCCACAAACTCAAAGCGAGCCTGTCCACGCCTCTGCAACTCTCGCAGAAGAAAGTACCTGACGTGAATGTGCTTCACTCTGCTCTCCAGTCGTGGCTCTCGACAAAGGAGAATAGACGCCTTGTTGTCAGTGAACAAGGTCGGTGCAGAACTCGGCCGCTCACCAAGGTCGGTGAGCAAGAAGGTCAACCAACGCAGCTCCTGTGCCGCCATGGCACCAGCATAGATCTCAGCCTCAGCTGTAGAGGTCGAGACCGAAGAGGAGCGCGTGGACCGCCAGGAAACAGCTCCAGAACCCAGGCTGAAACAGTACCCCTGAGTAGACCTGTGAGTCTCAGCGTCGTCAGCGTAAGAGGAGTCACAGTGACCAGTAAGTACGACAGACTGCTGCCCTCCAAGAACTAGCCCCACGCCTGACGTCGTCGCTAGGTACTTTGCCACCCTCACAGCTGCTGTCCAGTGAACAGGACGGTGTCTCCCTGGCGCAACAAAGCGCGCAAGAACGCTGAGAGGGAAGGCGAGGTCCGGGCGAGTACAAGTCATCAGGTACATGAGGCAACCCACAAGCTCTGCGTAGGGACCACTAGGCTCGAACGGCTCGTCAGGAAAGGGTCCAGTGAGTCTGTGGTCAACAGCAAGAGGTGTGCGCTGTACTGTGGAGTGCTGAAGCCCGAACCGCTGAAGGACCTGCTGCACCATGTGCGACTGTGAAAGTGTAATGGTGCGAGCAGCTCTGTCCCTGGTGATCTGCAGGCCAAGGTAGTGGCGCAGCTCACCAAGATCAGTGCAGGTGTGTCTCTTCTGCAGTTCGGACTTCACGTGTGCCAAAGCAACCCTGTCAGGGGTGGCGAAAACAAGGTCGTCAACGTAGACCAGAACAAAGAAAGGTGTGGGGCCACGACGAACGAACAGCGACGGGTCAGCAGAAGACGGCTGGAACCCAAGGTCAGACAGGGTAGAACGCAGGGTGTCGCAGGGTGTCGCAGAAGACCATAAACCGGTCGCCTCAGCCTCCACTGGGTCCCAGGAGGGAAAGAGCCAGTGAAGGCAGAGGGACGACGCAACCAGACCTCCTCGTGAAGACTGCCCTGAAGGAAAGCAGTAGAGAAGTCGAGAGAGTGTAACTCGTAGTCTCTCTGTGCTGCTACGTGTAGTAACACCCGAAGAGTGGTCATCTTCGGGGTGGGCGCGAAGGTCTGAAAGAAGTCAACTCCCTCGCGCTGACTGAAACCTCTAGCCACGTAGCGCGCCTTGAAGACCGGAGGAGATCCCGGTGGCCGCTTCACCCTGTAGATCCACATGCCGTCGACTACGTTCGCCCCCGGAGGGGGAACCTCATCGACGTAGGTGCCTGTGGATCTGTAGGAGGCCATCTCTGCGTCCATGGCAGCTCTCCACTGAGAGGCCCAAGGCCCTGACACTGCCTCAGCGTAAGTGCGAGGAGTCGGAATGTCAAGGGCGTCGGGGTCACCCTCAGGGGCGAGGAGCATGGCACAGAGATGAGGGGAAGCGGCCGCCAGGAACTCTAGCTCAAACTGCCTGTCCTCTAGGGCGTCACAGCCAAGGGCAGACACACCCCCGACGGCCAGAGGACTGGAAGGAGGAGCAGCCACAAGAGCGGTGGCGAAGTCAAGGCGGCGGGTAGAGGCAAACTCAGTGACTGCGGCAGTAAGAGCGGACACAGAGGACACAGAGGCACGAGGGTGAGTAACAAGTGAGGCGAGAACACGAGAGAGAAGAGGACGGTACGTGCGGTAGTAGTCAGTGACAGGAGTAGGGAGCGACGCAGTGAGAGCCGACTCAGGAGGAGACGGAAGCACAGAAGGAGACGGACGAGGTGGACTAGAACTAAGTAAGGCAGTACGAAGGTCAGTGAAGGGAACAGGAGACGAGGGACGAGCACGAGGGGAGCGACGAGAGGCCCAAGTCTGAAAAGGAGGAGGGGACAACGAAGACTGAGAACGAGGGAAAACAGCGGGAGAGGAGTCAGGAGGAGGAAGCGGAGGACCAGAGACGAGAGGAGAGGGGGAGGAGGAAGGAGAGGGAGAGGGGAGACCAAGGGTCCGAAGACCCGAGACAGGGGGAGGAGACGACAGCTGCTGCTGCTGCGGCTGCAGCGGCTGCTGCTGCTCCAGCGGCTGCTGCGCCTGCTGCTGCTCCTGCTGCTGTCGCTCCTGCTCCTCGAGCCGCTGCAACTCTCTCTCCTCTCTCTCCAACTCCAGCTGCTCCTCACGAGCACGGCGAACACGAGCCTGGAACCTGGTCGGGTAGGGGTGGGGGGAAGGAGTAGTGTCCGGGGCAGCGGCAGCCCCAGAGTCGACCTCCGAAGCACCAAGCACACCACCCCCAGAGGCAGCACCAACACCAGCTCCAGACCCAGGCTCTCCAGAAACCGAAGGGACACCCTCACCCCCAGACGCAGCACCCCCAGACTCCGCACCAGCACCCCCAGACTCCGCACGACCAGTACCAGCCCCCGGAAGACAAGAGTCCTCCGCAACCCGCGGCTCAGCTCCAACTCCAGTACCCCCAGAACCAGAGACCTGTACAGGGACAGTCGCAGGACCAACCTCCCGAGAGGGAGCACCTACAGGAGGCGGTGAGGAAGACTGTGGGGAGGGAGGCTGTACAGGGGGGGCTACCGAAGGGGGAGGGCTAGCCTGAGACACACCAGACGGGGCTGGACCAGGGGGGGGAGGCTGTACCGGGGGAGCAGGCGGGGGAGCGGCTGTCAGGAAGAGGGGGGGAGGAGGAACCGGGAGACCTCGACTGGGGTACCTGACGTAGTACGGGGTGGACTCCTCGAAACGGACGTCACGGGAGTCAAAGAACCGGTGAGAGGGAGGGTGGTAAAAGGTGAAGTCAGAGGAGTCCTCAGGGAAACCAAG